GGGCCAGTGAAGCAACATCCTCCACAACTAGACTGAAGAACAAAACGACAGCAACTTTTCTGTTCCCCTTCCCCCAATTCCCCAGCACTGTTCCCTTCCCCCCAATACCCCAATAAAAAAATAAAAAAAAAAGATTGTGCATTAAGTAATATATAGGCAAATACGTTGAGTGAGAGTATAGATGACCTTGTGATTAATTCATGATAAATTACAGTCTTATGAGCCAGTAGTAGTGTACTTGAAAATTTGTTTGGTACTAGGTAACAAAGCATTCTTTTATTCTTGGAATTAATTGTTCTTTGTTATACCTTTTTTGGTTTGTATGATGCTGTAGACAAATAAATGTTACACGGTTCTGTATAGTTAATTATAATTTTGTATTTTTAGAGTAAATGGGATGAAATCATACTGAGAAACAGGCTAGACATTGGGAAAAATGTCCGTTTATTAGTCTTAAAACAAAATTGATAAAATTCCCTCTGGAAGCTAACTCAAATGTTTTAGGATATGTCCTCTAAGTTTCAAAGATCCTGCTGGATTTTGGATTTTTATAGTTTCTCTTAATCCAATGATATATGTATATCAACTTTTTAAAATCAACTTTTACTCAATTATTTAAAGATTTATAACTATTATAAATAGATTTAGGTTCAGCGAATTAAACTGTGAATCAGAGTCCATATATAATGTATGAACCAGGGGTTACAAGGAAACTTAAGATATGGGTCCTCACTTCAGAATGCTCACCATTTGCTTGAAGGAAACAAACAGCTCATATATAAAAAACTTCCATAACTTTTTCAGTGACTTCTTTTTACTGCTGAAAATTTAAAGTGTATTATCCCAAAGTAAGCTTTAGCATTGAATCTAATTTTGGTAATGATACGTGTGCCAAATGTAATGCTTGCGGCCTCCTCCCTGCTCCTCCATACATGAATTGAAAATGCCCTGCTCTGCAGGAAGATTCTGAGTTGGAAAAAGACTTGTGCCTTCTGATAGAATGAGGTTCAGAAAGTCCCAGGCAAATTTAATGGGGGTGTAATGACTTATTTAGAAGGATGCCAGTGAAATGCCAGAACTCCCAAGTTCCTGGAACCAGTTACTTAGACGAAAGAGGAGGAGGAGGAGAAGAGAATGAGTAGTAAAATATTTCTGCAACACTAAAAATGAGAAGACAATGGAACAACATCTATAAACTATTGAGAGAAAAGGACTGTAGACCAGAAATTGTGTACATAGTAAAAAAATGTCAGGGCAGAAAACAGTACATTTTTAGAAATGCAAGAAATACCAATTATGGACTTCAAATGCTAAAGAATATACTTGAAGTATTCTACCAGATGAAAATTAAGCATAACGCACTTCTGAAAATAAAGGAAAACAAATGAAAATAAGAAACAAATGCAATTTTATAGGAAACCTGTATAGTATTATAAGTAGTTAAAGCTAAGTGGATGGAGTTAATCAAAATCTTTGTTCTGCTTTTGTGTCACTTTTCACCTCTTCCCAATCCCAATCCAACCTCCAACCCCATGCCCTCCCACACTTCTTTACTCTCATTTTAGTGGATTTTTAGGAAAGAGGTGTGGCAAAAGCATGTGCTCTAACATCTTTTTTTTTGTGTGTGTGTTCTTTCTTGGGAAGAAAGTTAGTGAAACTTTTTTTTTTTTTTTTAAAGATTTTTATTGGGCAACTGGGGGATGGGAACAGTGCTGGGGAATTAGGGGAAGGGGAACAGACAAGTTGCTGTTGTTTTGTTCTTCAGTCTAGTTGTGGAGGATGTTGCTTCACTGGCCCAAGTTGGCACCATCATTGTGCGCTCTTCCCGGGCGAGACACATCAGTCGCTGGCTTCTGGACGGCCGCTCACTGCGGCTGCTGGCCACTCACGCTGGCTGCTGGCTACATACGGTAGCCCATGGCAACCCACTGCCACAGGGGCTGCAGCCTATACTGTCACCGGCAACTCCCGGCAGCCCAGCTCCAGGTTGAGCTGTTGTTCAGCATCTTAGCTGTAGAGGGCAGTGTCACTGGCCCTCATATGTGGGATCCGAACCGGGGCCCTCTGGCGTCCCAAGCCAGTTCTTAACCATCGCGCCACTCGGCCGGCCCTGTGCTCTAACATCTTGATTTAGAAAATTCGTTTTTAAATTACTGTATACTTCTTACCACAAAAGGTTGTTATGAAAACTCGCTGGTCACAGATATTATTGCAAGCAACAGAAACCAGCTATGGCAGATTTAAACAAAAAAGGAATTCACTGACAGGGACTGGGTGACTCATAGGATCCTTGAAGGCTCGGTTGACTGGGTAGAAATTATACAAAACTTAGTGACAGCACTGTGTCTTCATTTAGAAGTAAATTGCCTTTTTCTTCTCTTTTGAAATGTAGGTTATATATTTGGGGAGAACTCCAGAAGAAGCATATAGAAAATTAATGTTTGGAGATACATCCTATATTCCTTTCAGGTAAGTATAAGAAAGATACGGTAGATTTGTTTAATCAGGCCCTTGCCAGAAATACCTTTGTGTAGTTGTTTTTGCAAAAAGAACACCTGGTAAGTAGTCATTTTAAGATAGGTGCAGATATACCCTTTATCTAGGTTACTCTACAGTAACAGTATTGATTTTGTTGTGGGGGGCTCTCATGTGTATTGTCGGGTATTTAGCAGCATCCCTGGCTTCTGCCCACTAGATGCCAGTAACACCTCCATCCCTACAACAACTGTCAAAACCAAAAAGTCTCCAGACATTGCCAGATGTCCCTGGTGGTGGTAGGGAGTATGGTGGAATCGCTCATACTTGAGAACCATTGTCCTAAATGGAATAATCAGGAGAGAATCCTGGACTTAATGGTACTCAAAAGTACTGAGGAGTCTAGTTCCTGAGGAGTTAAAAAATAAGTTTTTCTCATAGTCAGGAATGAGTTTCTGGGGCAAAAACTAACCCGTTTTTCCCTAAGGACACAGCCAGCAGAGAGAATGGGTGAGGTTGCGAATGTAACACCACTACATACTAAAAAAACCAGAGTGCTCTGTCATAGAGGTCTGGTCGATAAGTAGTTCTTTACATAAAGGGATGGCTTCTCATCCTGCTATCATACTTACTGTATGTTGTTATTGTGTTGAAGATATTTTGAAAAAAACTTTTTTTTTTCTTTTTCTTTAAATCAAATTAAGTTCTAAAAGATTCTCTATCAAAATACTTGACTTAGCTATATAATCTAAGTACTTACATGGTGCTGGATGTGTAATAAATTTGTGAAATAATTTTACTTGTTGCGTGCTGTATGGACAATTTCAAATATTGCATCATTCTTCCATTCACAAATCAGTAGTTATAGGATTGTTGCATATACCTTGAATGCCTGATTTTGAAGGGATGGTCTTTCCTTCTTTGGGATAGGTCTCCCTAACCTTAGGCAGAATAATGTCCTCCTTAAATAACTTCATAGGACTGTCCAGGGACTTACTCCATGAGTAGAGATTTGTTAGGACAGTCTATAGAGCTCTGTTATATGTAGTGCTCAAGACTCTATATTAGTGATTTAGCAAACTAGAAGAATTGCTTTGAACCCAGTATCACACCCTTTCTTCCTAGCACATGGTTCATCTCAAGTATTCTGCTATTTCAGGTGGGTAGGAAGGGATGAAGGTTATTGTCTAAACTAACAAATGCTTCATTTTGCTTCTCAACCTAACATGTGATGGCAACCATGTACTTCCTGTAGCAGAAATGCTTGTATTTGTGGTCCTTTAGTGACAGGCACACTGATATACAGTGATAATTTTGTTCTATGGAACACTTCAGTATATTGGTCATCCTTTATAATGGTGCCGTTCTTAACGTTTATACCACAAGGTCCTGAAATATGAATAAGCTCACATTATTTTACCTAATCTAAGCAAGGATCTGTGAAACACTGTTGATATAAAAGAAGGTTTATGTTAATTTAAATACAGGGGCCAAAAATAGAATAAATGTTGCTTACTGTTTGCTAAAGCTGTGTTTAAAGTTATTGAAATTTGGCACGGAGAAGTGAAGTTAGTCACTTCTGGTCCCAGGAGCAGAAGTCAGTAATTCCCAATAAACAGGACTTAGCTAGATTTGTGAAATTGCAATCTTTTCAGTCACAGGTGCCAGATACTTGATTTATCTAAAGCATTGTTTCTCAAAGTGGGACCTTTGAAATAGGGCAAGACTGAGGTTTTTCTTACCAGCCTAAGTACAGGTATAGAGACTGAGATTTTAGAGTCTTTTATAGTAATTTATAAATATATAGAGTATATTTATGTCCGTGGAATCAAATAATAGAAAGATTGGAGTTTGTATTTTGTCTTTTTTCTTCCATTTTTCTAGTAATTCATTTTTATTTACAAAAATAAGATAATTACATTATTGTGGGTATGTAATAGTGCAGTGTTGTATTTTATATTTGTTGTGTTTTACAAAAGTATCAACCTCTGACAAATTTAAAAATCTGATGCTTTACCACATTTTACTGTTCTATAGAACTTACTGATTAGAAAGTAGGCCAATCACAATTAATAAAGCCTGATAATATTTTGAAAGAAATTGCATTATAGCCCTTTATCCTTGCCACTTTAAGTGTATAGAATAAATATAACTGCTAACAAAGTATTGTTAACAGGGGATTGTGCATTTATGAATGCATTTATAGTTAATAATTTTTATACTCCATAGCAATATTTAATTAGATTTAATTCAACTTAGATATTCTTCGTTTTTTTTAAAATAGTTTAGAACAGTTCTATTTTTTTTAAAGATTTTATTGGGGAATTGGGGGAGGGGAACCGCACTGGGGAAACAGGGGAGGGGAACAGACAAGTGGCTGTTGTTTTGTTCTTCAGTCTAGTTGTGGAGGACGTTGCTTCACTGGCCCAAGTTGGCACCATTATTGCGCTCTTCCCAGGCGAGGCAGATCGGTTGCTGGCCTCTGGATGGCTGCTCACGGCGGCTTTTGGCAACTCACACCGGCTGCCAGCCGCTCACTGTAGCTTACGGGAGCCCACTGCAGCTCTACTGCAGCCTTACTGCAGCTCTACTGCAGCCTTACAGCAGCCCAGCTCCAGGTCGAGCTGTTGTTCACCTTCTTAGCTGTAGCGGGCGCAGCGTCACTGTCCCAATGTGGGACCTGAACTGCAGCCCTACTGCACAGAGCTGGTGTCCCAAGCCAACTCTTAACCAATGCACCACTCGGCCGGCCCTAGATATTCTTCTTTGTTTTTTTTTTTAAAGATTTTTATTGGGGAATTGGGGGGATGGGAACAGTGCTAGGGAATTGGGGGAAGGGGAACAGACAAGTTGCTGTCATTTTTTGTTCTTCAGTCTAGTTGTGGAGGATGTTGCTTCACTGGCCCAAGTTGGCACCATCATTGCGCTCTTCCCAGATGAGGCAGATCAGTTGCCGGCTTCTGGATGGCTGCTCACTGCGGCTGCTGGCCGCTCACGCTGGCTGCTGGCTACATACGGTAGCCCATGGCAACCCACTGCAGCAGGGGCTGCAGCCCACGCCGTCGCCGGCGACTCCCAGCAGCCCAGCTCCAGGTTGAGCTGTTGTTCAGCATCTTAGCTGTGGAGGGCAGTGTCACTGGCCCTCATATGTGGGATCCGAACCAGGGCCCCGTGGTGTCCCAAGCCAGTTCTTAACCATCGCGCCACTTGGCCGGCCCTAGATATTATTCTTTAACCACTGAGTTTACATATGTATATATACCTACATGTATGGTTTCTTAATGAATTTAGCTATTTCTCTGCCTGTCTAAATGAAAAAATAATATAAAATGCAGTTCATTTTCTTGATACCTTTGGTTTATTGTTATGAAGAACATATAGTACTTTTATTCTTTGATAATACCTACAATACTTCTTTGCTTCTTAGTTGATTTTTGTTGTTGTTGTTGTCTCTGCTCTCTATTTTCTTGAGAGGTGGTATTGCATAGCTGTTAATAGCATAGCTATCTATTGATATTAGATAGATGGGAATGTGACACTGGCTCTGCCACTAATCTCTGTCGTTCTTTACAAATGTGAGCCTTGGTCTCCTAGTCTGTCAGTGGGAATGATAGTTGTATCTGTCTAATGGCGTAGTGAGGATTAAGTAATATCATGCATATAAGACATTTGGTATAGTTAGTGCCTGCTCCTTAGCTAGCATTTGTTGAACATTCATTTTTTTTCCTTTTTAGATGTATATCTTGCATATAATTAAAAATCCCACTAGTCTTATGTGTATAACAATAAACTTTTACATGTGTATATGTAGTTATCACCCAGTTCGAGGTACAAACGTTGCCAGCACCCCTGAAGATACCTTGCACCTCTTTCCAGTCAGTAACCCACCCCCAGACTCCTTAAGTAACCGCTTACTATGTTTTCTGCCACCATCAGTTAGTTTTTCTTGCCTTTGAACTTTGTGTAAATGGACTCATACAGTATGCATTTTGGAGAGCTGGGATCTAGCTTGTTAAACACATACTATCTATGAGAGTTATCCATGTTGTGGCAGGTATCAGTAGTTCTTTTTGTTTTTTATTGCTTTTATAGCATTCCATTCTATGAATATATCACAATTTATTTGCTCATTGTCCTTTTGATGGATACTTGTGTTATTTGCAGTTTTGGGCTATTATGAATACAATCTCTCGTGAAAGCTGTTATTTAAAAAAACTGGTATTTGATATTGTTTTGCATTTTCTAAGCAGTACCCCATTGATTCTCATCTGGTTTTCTAAGTTTGTTAAAGGATCATGGTGCCAAGCTGTCTCCTTCCCCCAAAGGCTTACGTCCAGGGTCATAGCTGCTACTCTGCTGGGTTGAAGAAGCCTGATTGCTTGGGTGGGAGGAAGGAGGTGTTAATGAAATAAACATGAGTAGATAAAGAAAGATTCTTGTTGTCTATTCAGATAGTGTGATGACTGAGGCAAACTGTAGCCGAGCCCAGATCAGAGCTTGTCAAATCGTCATTGACTTGAGCAGGGCTTGCACACAGTAGGTTCTCAAAAAATATGCATTGAATAAATGTACTATCAAGTCACAAAGATTGAATCAACATGCCTTAAGTTGATGAGAAAGGAATTATCAGTAGGTTAAGAAGATAATAATCCTAGCTAACTGAGGAGATACGGTTAAAAACCATTGAGATGTAACTTGAGAGTTCACCCTATTTCCACTAATGCTTTTGATTTAGACTACACTACTTCATTTTTTAAACTGAGCTTTTCTTTTGAAAAAATGTTCCTTATGTCATGAAAATATTATTTCTACAAAACAAATATTTGTGTTGATTCTGTAGGTCAGTGATTCTTAAACTGAACACACATCCGACCACCTGGAGGACCTGTTAGAACAAAACTTTCCTGGCCCCACCCCTAAAACTTCTGATCTGCAGGTCTGGGGTGACGCCCATGCTGCTGGCTCAGGGACCCCTCTCTGAGAGCCACTGTTTCAGGTCATTGTGGCTTTCTCTTTCCTGAATGTCGTCAACATGCTCTTGGTAAAATAGAGACTGTTTCCAACTTTTAGAAAAGCAGCTTTTAAATTCAGAAGCTTATAGAACAAAAAAAGCATGTTGTCAGATCTTGTGTGCAGTCCTCACAGAGGCCACCATACAGCATGCCTCAGTAATTCTAACCAGTTCAGGGGAGAGCAAGACTTTTAGCTGAGACAGGTACCCTTACTTTTCCTCATTGTTAGCTTAATGTTGTTGTAATCATCTGCATTCTTAAGGTTTGTGCAAGAATTAAAAATTTTAAATGTGCTGTTTAATTTTTCAGGTAAGTAATGTTCCCATGTGAAAACCCAACCAAGTCAAGCAGTGGATGGCTTCAGTTCCACTTAGGGATCAAATAATTACCATTCAGATAGGCACTGTTGTTTGGCATGTCTAGAATGATCATAATTAAATTAATTTTTATTTTGCCTAATTCCAAGAATTTTCACTTTGTTATGGCTCAAGGTAGTCAAAAAGGAGAAGCAGGTGGGAGTGGAGGAATGTCTTGTTTTTCTGGACAAAATCTTAACTGATATTAAGAGGTGTGTAGTAAGTTTATGGATAACTGGTACAGCGTTGGGTGGAGTGGACTGCAAACTAACAACATTTCCCAAGAGTAGAGCGATTCTACTAAAGGCAGTTGACACCTTAGTTCCTTTGGTTTTATTGGCAGTGTTGTCCTCTAAGAACCAGAAAGAAGTTATCCAGTTAAATTGTTAAAAATTGTAAAAGCATAATGAGAGGAGCAAAATGCTTTTTAGCTTCCATCTAGGATTTCAGCTATTACCTTTTTTTCCTCCTTGATGGAGATATAAATAAACACGCATGCATACACACACAGAGATATATGTATATACAGAATCAAAAAGCAGTCTTTCCAGGTGACAGTTTGATATGGTATTTTCCAGTGTGAAGAGAAAATTCAAATGCCTTGCCCTTTTGGGGGCAGGGGTTCATATTATTGATTAGTTGAACTGAAGAAGTAACTCTTGAAGCTCAGCCATCAAAGCCAGAAATCATCCAGCGAGATCATTTAAAATTTAGGAAGTGGGCCAGTGAAGCGACGTCCTCCACAACTAGACTGAAGAACAAAAGGACAGCAGCTTGTCTGTTCCCCTCTCCTGATTCCCCAACGCTGTTCCTTTCCCCTAATTCCCCAATAAAATCTTTAAAAAAAAAATTAGGAAGTGGTCATTATTGATCCACGTCTATAAAACATTAGGAGTAGGTAGGAACTGCAGTAAAATTTATAACAGAGACATCTTTTATTTAAAACCAAACAGCTAGTTTTTTTTTTTTTGAGACTTGATCTGAGTGTGTGTTTGTAAATTCTAGTCAGCTTCATCTTAAGGTGTCTGTCCCACAGAAAATTCAATTAACTGAGCTATGTATTTCAATACTTCTGGGATTTCAGAGATGCTGCGTATGGGAGCTGCAATTTCTACATTACACTTCTCGACTGTTTTCATGCAGTGAAGAAGGTAAGTGACTTGCAGGATGTGTGTGCCTGCTGTCGTGTTGGAGAACTAAAGTCCAGTCCAAGGAAGACTAGGCCTTCTCCCCCAAGCATCTTCCAAGATGTGCATGTCTGAAGTATCCTATTGCCCCACTAACATCAGAGTGTTACCAAACCACAAAACAGCTTATTCTGAATCTGAGAGCTTCTCTGCATGAGTTAGGGGAAAAGCCACTGGAGCAACAGGAGACAATCAGAATTATATAATTAGGTTCTAAACCCAGAATTGGTTTTCAGTGTGTTGTGATTTCAAGAGAAAAACCAAAAGAAAACAGATTACTGATTTCCAAGTTCTCTTTGATTTATGTATTTTATGGGCCTGCTTTCCACCAATCCTATCTACAACAGACAATTTTTTAACACAGTAACTGTCAAACACTGTTTTTGTGTCTTCAAGCCATCCATTTGTTTTTTTTTAATTCTTCTCTCTTTTTTTTTTAAGTATTTATTGGGGAATTGGGGGAGGGGAACAGTGTTGGGGAATTAGGGAAGGAGACCAGCCAAGTTGTTGTTCTTCAGTCATCATTGTGGAGGGCACAAGTTGCCATCTGGCTTCCCATTGGCAGCTCGTGGCCTCTAAGCTCAAGGTGCTATGTTGAATCTTAGTTGCAAGTGGGCGTAGCTACCACCCCATGAGGGAGTCGAAACAGCAGCCTGTTGTCAAGAGCGCATGCTCTATTCACTGAGCCATCTGGGCGGCAACTCAGCTCAAGGTGCCAAGTTCAGTCTTAGTTGTGGGCAGTTGTAGCCCACCATCGAACAGGCAGTCTTGTTAGGAGCATGTGCTCTCACCAGGTGAGCCATCCTGCCACCTGTTGGCAGCTCAGCGACAGCTCAGCTCGGGCGCAGCTCACTGGCCCATGTGGGAATCAAACCGGTGGCCCTGTTGTTCAGACCTCACGTCTTAAGCCAACTCTTAACCAACTGAGCCACTCGGCCAGCCCAAGCCGTCCATTTCTAATGCAACAGAATTTGTATAGCCTATTAGTTTGTTACTAGGTTTTATGTAAAACTAAGTAGGTCACTACTGCTTTGTCAAAGCTGTTTTAAAACAATGCCTGTGTTTTATAACCAGGGCTGCTTGCTGTCTTTGACCCCAGGGGCCACCTTTCACATCACATTCCAAATGAACAAGGTCTCCTGGACTTAAGTGACGCAGCAGACCATGGTTATAACACTGCTTTGTGTATATTTCTTGGATGCCAGGGCCACGCAAGAAACTAGAATTGTAAATCAGTAGCCCATAAATCAATAAGCCTTCAGCAATATCTCAGGTTTTTATGTGACTTCTATTTTCAGAGGCGAAAGGAACCCAGGTTTACTTGTATAATGAAACATGGCTTTCTGAGAATTTTGACAGAAATTTTGTGGATTAAAATGAGAGGACTGGGCCGGCCGAGTGGCACGATGGTTAAGAACTGGCTTGGAATGCCAGAGGGCCCCGGTTCAGATCCCACATATGAGGGCCAGTGACACTGCCCTCCACAGCTAAGATGCTGAACAACAGCTCAACCTGGAGCTGGGCTGCCGTGAGTCGCCGGCGACGGCGTAGGCTGCAGCCCCTGTGGCAGTGGGTTGCCATGGGCTACCGTGTGCAGCCAGCAACCAGCGTGAGTGGCCAGCAGCCTCCGTGAGCGGCCGTCCAGAAGCCGGCGACTGATGTGCCTCGCCCGGGAAGAGCGCAATGATGGTGCCAACTTGGGCCAGTGAAGCAACGTCCTCCACAACTAGACTGAAGAACAAAACGACAGCAACTTGTCTGTTCCCCTTCCCCCAATTGCCCAGCGCTGTTCCCATCCCCCCAATTCCCCAATAAAAATCTTAAAAAAAAAAATGAGAGGACTAATTAATGTACAGATTCAGAGATTAATTAGTATACTTTCCTCGTGTATCAGGCATTGAGGTATGGAACTTAACTCCTTTGGGTTGGAGACCAGTGACTGATATGTGGAGCTGACTAAGGGAGTCCCCACAGGCTATGAGGCAGCTCCATCAGGCCTCAGTTGAGGCAGGCAATGGGCAGAGGAGGCCATCAGGAAACGAGGGACAGTAGGTATAAATGATCCCTTTGGGTTGTAGTTATAGTCCCTGTCAGATGGATCCCAGGGAACTGCTAATGTAGGCAGACATATGGTCCTGACCCTAGGGTTTCCTTCTCCTTTCCCACCATCTTTAAAAAAAGAGCAGAAAAACTTTGAGGGCCTGGGACATGGTCTACTATAACATTCTATTGTTATTCCTTGGCTTAGTTTTTTGTTCTTTGTTTTTTTTTTTTAATCAGATATTATATACAAAGTCTAACTAGCTGAAACTACAGGTCAAAGATTGCTTTTTCCACACTATATTTAATTTTATTCAAGAGTCAACAGGTTCTGATTTTCAATTTAAACATTTCTTATTTGTGACTGATTTAGAATATTGCATACCTGAAACATTTATAAATGAATTCTTACTTTTACTGTGACTTCTAATAGGATCTCCATATGAATTTCAAAGGAGAATAAAAATTTCCTATAAACTGCATTTTATCGTATCATTCTGTTAGGATCATCTCTAGTCCAAATATCATGACATGTATTGAATATTTTGAATTCGAGGAAATTAAAATTCATCATGGATTTGGTGTTGGAATTAGAATTTAAATGGCTATATTTCATAAAACGAGGACTTTTAGTTGGTATTATAGCATTCATATTTTTCATTTATATTTCAGTACTTTAAAATTGGAAAACTCATTTATAGAGTCACCCCTTTCGAACCACGATTAGCCTGTTGATCAAGAATTCTAACTTGCATACTGTGGCTCAGAGAATATTTCTCAGAGGCCACCATCTCGTCCTTGTTTCAGAAAAGATCCTCTGCTTATTTCACTTAGCATGCTCTGCCTACTGTAGTTCAGAGCCAGGCTACAGAAGAGAACATAAAATGTGTGTATTTTTTTCTTGTTAAAAGAAGAAATTTTTTTTTCCCCCTCAAAGTTTTGGATTTTAGTGTCGACCTCGGCTGTGTTTCGTAGAGGGAACATTCATCTCTTAATTCAAGACTGTTTAGAAGAATTTGAAAGAGGAGCTATTTCTGAAGTTTGGAAAAAACTGACATTTCTTTCCTCTTTATTATTTATTTAGAGACCATTGGGCTGTGCATTATATTTGAAGCCTGAATGGTGTTGATCTAATAAATTAGGGTTGCTTTGAAGACTTGATTATTTGGCTCTGCACAAAAAGGATGATTGTGAAGAAACATAAAATATCAAATCTTATTAAAATAAGTATTGTTATAACTAATTTTCCAGATAATGGAAGCATTTAAAAGACATATCCCACCTCCTTTGAAAACTATTCACTGGAACATAATCTAAATATAATAATGCCTTTGGGGCGGGGTACCTCCTGATTTTTGATGTTAGGAAATTGGATTGGAAATTGTTTACTTATTTGAGCCTTTGTTTTTAAAAGATTTCCTTTGGATTTTAGGCAATGCAGTATGGCTTCCTTAATTTCAACTCATTTAACCTTGACGAATATGAATACTATGAAGTAAGTTTTCAAGGATATTGTTTTTAACTCTTATTCATATTTTGCTTACAGAAGTAATATTCTTGTTTTTACAAATATTAAACAATTTAGATGTGTATAGAATTTTAAAAAAAAAAGTCAAGCCTTTATCATCTTACTGCAGTCCCAGTTCTTAGTGGGGGTTTCTGCATTGGGTGCGTCCTTCCAGAGTGACTGAGTGTGCTCCAGGAATTTTTTTGAATGTTTAGTTTAAATTTTTTTAGTACTGATGACTTTCCTATTAAATGAGATAATGTTTATAAAACCCTTAGCATAGGATCTGATGAGATGACTAGTCAGGATACATCTAATTACCTATGGAAATTATGTTTTTATCATAAATGTTTGTATGAAGTCAGGACACTTCTGGTTGCAAATTACAGAAAGTAAACACATATGACTAACAAAAAAGGGAAAACTTATTGATTTACCTATGTAAAAAGTCCAGGAGCACGTGTACCTTCATGCATGACCATACCAGGCGCTCAGACACTTAATCAAAATTGGGCTGAGGTTAACTTTGTCTACAGGCTAGGCCTCAGTAGATAAAGATAGCCATCAGCAGCTGTGATTCACCTTTTTGCAAACTCACCAGACAAGAGCATTCATGGCTCCAGCTGAAGACCCATTAAGTCTTCTTATTGGCCTGGCTTAGATCATGTCCCTAGCCCTCAACCAGGCTGATTCCTGGTGAGGGTGGGGGTTAGGTGGGTGTAGAAGACTCTGGCCCTCCCAGGAGCTGGGTGCTGGGGTCGTTCTATCAGCTATGCAGACCCAAAAAGAGAGTACAGGCAGGCAAAACTACATATGTCCTCGATTCTTTTTCATGCAGTGTATTTTTTTTAAAAGACAAGTAATTTGATTGTGCCATTTGTTCCACCCTCCAAATAGATAATGAGTAAGATGCTTATGCTAGAGGGTTTTTTTTGGCCAGGAATGCTTGTGGAATCATCCTTTTATCCTACTGTAGTTATCTTGAGCAGACATTCTCACTACTGAGCGATACTACAGATCACTTTATGCAGCAGTACCTTGAATCCTCACATAACTACTATTCTTTTGTAGTCAATTTCTACTTATTTTAAACTCTTACATAACTGAACTGTTTTACTGATGAGTAGAGTTAACTAGTGACGGTCAGTCACTGCTGTGATGTACCAGAAATGTAAAAGCATATCGTGTGATTCATTCGGGCCCACCCTATCTTTACATCTCTGCAGTAGCAATACACTTCTAAAGTATGCTATGTATTCAATTACCATCTTACACTACTGACTATAACTTAATTATTAACACCTTTTTTTTGTTCTTATAAAATTAAACATTTAAAATAAAATATACTTTTTTTCATGTAAGCAAAACTATTGAAAACTCCATTTGATGTGCCTTCAGTGTAGCAGTGGTGTCCCTATGTGTTACTAAGGAGCAATATCAGCTTCTATCTCACTAATGTAGAAATTCCAGTGTTGGCAGGGAGTGTCAGGGTCACCCACAGATGTCATTTTCTTTCAGTGACATTGCATCGTGACACAGGGAACTGTTCAGGTATCTACAGAACACGGGTAGCTCACAGACTGATTTTGTTTAGTCTCCACAATGTATTTAGAAATTTTGGATTAGTGTCTCATTGATTCTGCCATGCCCATTTTTTCCTGTTTTACCTGCTCTGAATTCTGGATGCATTTTATAATCTGTAATGTCTCCAATTCAGTGAAATCTAACTGCAGATCTCTTGTTAAGATCTCCAGATTTCTGGTTTCACTTAAAAATCAGAACATCTGATTTGTCCTCATTCCTATATAGACTTTTTAGCATGGAACATGAGCTCACCAATTCTCCCCCATGATAATTAATTCAAGTAAATTGGTTTTGGGTTACCTGCCTAGCCTATAGATGTTCAAGCAACTCTTGGTTTATTTCTTACTTGTTCTTAGGTAACATATACGCACCTTGATTGCAAAGCCGATTGATCTTTTTTTTTTAAATTTTATTTATTTTTTAAAATTGGGGAATTGGGGGAGTGGAACAGCCAAGTTTTTGTTCTTTAGTCTTAGTTTTGGAGGGCACAGCAAGCTCAGCTCCAAGTCGAGTTGCACCGCTCAGCTCAAGAGTGCTGTCTGTGTTCAATTAGTTGCGGGTGGGCATAGCCACCATCCCATGAAGGAGTTGAACCAGCAGCCTCGTTGTTAAGAGTGCACGCTGTATCTTCTGAGCCACCTGGGCAGCAGCTCAGCTCAAGGTGCCAAGTTCAGTCTTAATAGTTGCGGGTGGGCGTAGCCCACCATCCCATGCGAGAATTGAACGGGCAACCTTGTTGTTAAGAGCATGTGCTCTCACCAGCAGAGCCATCCTGCCACCCGTTGGCAGCTCAGCAGCAGTTCAGCTCAGGTGCAGCTCACTGGCCCATGTGGGAATCGAATCGGTGACCCTGTTACTCAGAGCTTGCACTCTTAAGCAAGCTCTGAACCAACTGAGCCACTCAGCCGGCCCTGATCTTATTTTTATCATTAGTTTTCTTCTCCACTATTGTCTCCTACGTCCTACATAAGTCTTTGTATAACCATTTCTATTGTTGTTAAATTTGAATTTAGAATAATTGGTATGGGAACTCAACCTATAGCTTAATAGCAGGAGGTAAAGTTTTTTAAATTTCAGTTTATAGTCATGTTGTTTTTTTTTCTAGAGACTTAACTGTGATCTCAGTATACTTATTCAAATTTCCTGGTGTTTTAGTGAAAACATTTTATTGACTATCTTATTAAATAGCTAGCAAAATGATGGGAAGATGTCTGTCTACAAATAAAAAGTAAATATTGAAAAGCCAGAAGCCTAAATAGATAGTTTTTTCTCCTTTGTTCAATGAGTCAAGATTGCTCATATTGGAAGGCAGTTAGTCAATTCAGGAAAACGGAAGTTTCCACATTCCTCATAATGAAATAGTTTGCTTTCTTAGTAATTAGCAGCAACTATATGAGAATTTACTTGGATAAAATAACCAAAGTACTTAGGCATATTTTGGATAGCAGTAGTCAGCTCTATTTTTCAAAGGCTGACTACCCTAACAAAGAAACGCTGTTAATAGAAAATGATTAGGACCAGGAGAAGATAATGAACTATTCCCTGGGAACACTCACAGCAGGCTAAATTTTAGTTTCCTGTCTCATGGTCATTTATAAACAGCTTTTGTGATAGAGCAAATGGATTTGAATCTCTGCAGACACTTGGTATTGAGGAAAGGGGTGTGGAGAGGAGATTAAGTCTAAAAATGAATTGCGCTGTTCTTCCCATTGCAGAAAGCAGAAAATGGAGATTTAAATTGGATAATACCAGATCAATTTATTGCCTTCTGTGGACCTCATTCAAGAACCAGACTTGAAAGTGGTATGCAAAAATATGGGACCAGTATTGTTTTGTTATTAAAAGTATGCATCCTGTTTTTTCTTTTGAAACAGGCCCAAGAGTTTTAAACTAATTAAGCTTGATGGTCTTAATTATTTAAGTATACTCAATCATTTCAGTACATCATTCTGCCTGGATTTTAACTTTTTTATTTTTTTACAGTTGTAATCAAATTGGTATTCAATGCCCAGCCTAAACACTGTTTCCACACAATTACAGGTGAAATTGTTATCCATTATTTTCTTTCTGCATTGTATAACATCTGTTCATTTCTTTATGTAGGTTACCACCAACATTCTCCTGAGACTTATATTCCCTATTTTAAGAATCACAACGTTACTACCATTATTCGTCTGAATAAAAGGATGTATAATGCCAAACACTTTACAAATGCTGGTTTCGATCACTATGATCTTTTCTTTGCGGATGGCAGCACACCTACTGATGCCATTGTCAAAGAATTTCTGGATATTTGTGAAAATGCCGAGGGTGCCATTGCAGTACATTGTAAAGGTATGTTTCTAGGGTTGGTTAAAACATGGTGGTCATGTATATGTGTGGGCATGTATGTATATATGTGTAGAAACACCATACTCATTCGCATTATATGCCAAGACACATGAAGCTGCCTTTGTTTTTAAAGAATGCTTTTTTTCTTTTGTAATTTGCTTTTAAAACCACTTTTTTGAGGTGTGATTGCCATAAAAAAAACTGTACATAAAAAGAATACATTTCAAATCCTAATTTCTTATGAAAAATAGTAATTAAATTATATTCATAGGTAACCCTACAAAGGCTTATCACATTTAATGCATTCATTTATTCATCAAATATCTATTCAGTGCCTACGTTTGGTAGATTCTAGGATATGTCAATGAGCAGAGCAAATTCCAAGAGCTTGTCTTTTAGAGTTTATTCTAACAAGTTGCTATGTTTTTAGCTGCTAGAGCAAAACCTGGCACTTAATAAATATTTATTGAATGAGTGAATGACTAATAAAACGTATCATGAATGTACTAGGATTCATTTAACCTTTCTCCTCTTGTTAGATAGTTGATTCAGAAGACAAGGAATATATTTTTTCTAATGTTGGAGAAAAAACAAAAACCAGCAAATATGGAAAATAGCCAAAATCTAATCTCCAGAGTTACCACATAGCAAGATTCAAGTGTCCAGCTTTCACCAAAAAATTACGAGGTATAGAAATAAATAGGAAAGTATAACCCATTCAAAGGAAAAAATAAATAAATCAACATAAACTGTCAGTGAGAAAGAACAGATTGTGGATTTATTAGACAAAGATGTTAAAATAGCTGTCTTAAAAAGGTGCTCAAAGAGCTAAAAGAAAGTAATTGACAAAGTCAAGAAAACATTATATGAAAAAAATGGGAATATCAATATAGAGATAGGAAACAAAGAGGAATCAAAAAGTAATTCTGGGGCCGGCCGAGTGGCGCATTGGTTAAGAGTTGGCTTGGGACGCCAGCTCTGAGCAGCAGGGCCCAGATTTGAATCCCACATGTGGGCTAGTGACGCTGCGCCCTCTCCAGCTAAGATGGTGAACAACTGCTCGACCTAGAGCTGGGCTGCTGTGAGTCGTCGGTGACGGCGTAGGCTGCCAAGAGCTGCCCTGAGTGGCTGTCCAGTGGCCGGCTACCAATCTACCCCACTTGGGAAGAGCGCAATGGTAATACCAACATGGGTCAGTGAAGTGACGTCCTCTACAACTAGACTGAAGAACAAAAGGACAGCAACTTGTCTGTTCCCCTTCCCCGATTCCCCAACGCTGTTTCTTTCCCCCAATTGCCCAATAAAAATCTAAAAAAAAAAAAAGTAATTCTGGAACTGAAATGTACGGTAAATGAAATGAAACATTTGCTGGTGAGATTCAAAAGCAGACATAAGCAGACAGAAAAAAGAATCAGAGTTAAAGACAGGACAGTTGAAATGATCAAGTCTGAAGAATTGAAAGAGAAAAGATTGAAAAGTACAAAGGGACCTCTGAGATATCAAAAAGTGGAACAAGAGCATTTTATAGATTGTGGGAGTCCCAAATGGCATAGGGAAGAGAAATGAGCCGAGAGATTATTTGAAGAAATAATTGCTGAAAGCTTCCCAAATTGCAGGAAAGGCATAAATGTAAATATTAGAGAACCTTGGTGAACTCCAAGCAGGATAAATTCAAAGACCCACACCAAGATGCATCAAAGTCAATCACCTAAAGCCAGAGACAAAGAGAATCTTAATCTTTTAAAGCAATAAGAGAATCAACTTATCACGTACAAGGGATCTTAGTAACATTGTTAGCAGATTTCTCATCAGAAACCCTGGAGACCGGAAGGCAGTATGGATCGATATAGTCAAAAGTGCTGAAGGAAAACCACTGTCAACCACAAATCCTGCATCTGGCTAAGCTTTCCCTCAAAAATGAGGGAGAAATTAAGACATTCCCAGATAACTAAGAGCTGAGGGCATTTGCTACCACTAGGCCTGCCCTGCAAGGAAGGTCAAATGAAAGGACACGAGACAGTCAATATGAAGAAATTAAGATCTCGGGGCCGGCCGAGTGGCGTGATGGTTAAGAACTGGCTTGGGACGCCAGAGGGCCCCGGTTCGGATCCCACATATGAGGGCCAGTGACACTGCCCTCCACAGCTAAGATGCTGAACAACAGCTCAACCTGGAGCTGGGCTGCTGTGAGTCGCCGGCGACTGCATAGGCTGCAGCCCCTGTGACAGTGGGTTGCCATGGGCTACTGTGTGTAGCCAGCAGCCAGCGTGAGCGGCCGTCCAGAAGCCGGCGACTGATCTGCCTCGGCCGGGAAGAGTGCAGTGATGGTGCCAACTTGGGCCAGTGAATCAGCGTCCTCCACAACTAGACTGAAGAGCAAAATGAAAGCAACATGTCTATTCCCCTTCCCCCAATTCCCCAGTGCTGTTCCCCCCCCCCCAATTCTCCAATAAAATCTTAAAAAAAAAAAAACTTTGTTAAAAAAAGAAAAAAGAAAAAAAAAGAAATTAAGATCTCTGGTAAAATTATAAAGGACAATTTTAAAGGCTAATACTATTGTATCTTAATTTGTAAACTTTCTAAACAAAAGACAAGAGATTGGGAGAATAATTTAAAAATAATAATCCAACTATATGCTATCTAAAAGAGACTCAGTTTAGATCCAGAGACACAAAGAGGTTGAAAGTGAAAGGATGGGAAAAGGTATTTCATGTAAATAGTAACCGAAAGAGAGAAACAGTGATTATACTAATATCAGACGAAATAGACTTGAATTAAAAAAGATTATGAGACAAAAAAGGACATTCTATATTAATAAAAGTTTCAATATAACAAGAAGATATAACAATTATAAACATTTTACATGTCTAATAACAGATCTTCACAATATATGAAAGAAAAATAGTAATAGTAATGGTTGTACAGCAATATGAGTTTTTTCAATGCCAGTGAATTGTACACTTAAAAGTGGTTAAGGGCCGGCCGAGTGGCGCATTGGTTAAGAACTGGCTTGGGATGCCAGAGGGCCCCGGTTCAGATACCACATATGAGGGCCAGTGACACTGCCCTCCACAGCTAAGATGCTGAACAACAGCTCAACCTGGAGCTGGGCTGCTGTGCGTCGCTGGCGACAGCGTAGGCTGCAGACCCTGCAGCAGTGGACTGCCATAAGCTACCGTGTTTAGCCGGCAGCCAGCATGAGTGGCCGTCCAGAGGCTGGCGACTGATCTGCCTCACCCGGGAAGAGAGCAATGATGGTGCCAACTTGGGCCAGTGAAGCAACATCCTCCACAACTAGACTGAAGAACAAAACAACAGCAACTTGTCT